AAGACTCAGGAGCCAGATACTAGAGTAAAAATCTGTTAGCTAAGAAAGGCAGAAAAAGCACCTGGTTAACGTTCCTACTCTACACTGTCTTAATACCCTTCAACTCAATGCCCCCCTTCCTGTGTGTGTGGTTTTTTTTTTCTTTTTTGGGGGGGGTATTTTGTTTTGTTGTTTTGTTGTTTTGTTTTGAGACACAGTTTCTTTGTAGCTTTCACTCACTTTGTAGATCGGGCTGGCCTTGAACTCACAGAGATCTGCCTGCCTCTACCTCCTTGAGTGCCTCTTAACCCATGGTTGGCTTTATTTCGCTCTTGTTCACAGAAAGCTCTTTGGTAAAAGGTGTGTACAAGGGCTGAGCCACACCACAAGAAACAGGTTTTTCCAGTTCACAATCTTATGGTTCACAAAGTGATCAAATATCCTGCAACTGGTCAACCCACCTCCCATTATCTCACCTAGTCACTTTCATTCCTTATTATCTGCTTCTCATTTATTATGGTCCCGTTCACTATCTGAAATGTTATCTACCTGTTGTGCTATTTTATGCCACTCAAATAGAGGTTCTATGACAGCAGACCCTCCACTGTCTTCTACATTGCTGTCTCCCTTTCATCTGGCTGTAAAGGTTAGAATACAATAGGCAGTTAATAAGCATTTGTGGGAGGGAGTGGACCCCAACCTGAACTACACTCAGCATAGTTATAAAAGATTTTTATCTCTAAGAAGAGCCTCAAAGTTTTTTTTTTTTTTTAAGTCTCATTCAACCTTTTATAAAAACAGAAGTTAAGCCTCCCGTGATGGGGCACTCCTTTAATCCCAGCACTCCTGATAGCAGTGAGTTGGAGTTCAACCAGGACAACATGGCTACACAGAGAAAACCCATCTCAGAAAAAACAAACAAACAAACAAACATAAGTTAAGCTAGTTATAAAAATGGATGACAACAGAATTCTGTCACTAAGGAGACACAATTAAGCAATGATGTTAAGAAAAGACTTTTATCTGTTGCCCTTTTCATGTCTCTAACTCAGACTTTTTTCCCCAAATGGTCTTTCATTGTTTATAATTCATTCAAATGAAAGCCAGTAAAATTTTTTCTGTGAGCTGACAATGGTATTACAAGCCTTTAATGCCAGCACTCATAAGACCAAGGCAGGTGAATTTCTGAGTTCTAGGTCTACAGAGTGAGTTCCAGGACAGCCAGGACTACACAGAAAAACCTTGTCTTGAAAAACCAAAAGAAATATCTGTAAAAAGAAGAAAGAAAAAAAAAAAACAATCTAAAGCTTAAATTCTTAAGCTAGTAAATTCTTAAACTAATTTTTCTATACTTACTTTAAAGCAAGAGTTTCGGTTTTCCTTTTTCACAGTGCTGGAGGGTAAAACTACGGCCTCAGGCATGCTGTAAAAGTGTTCTACCATTGAAATACAGCCACAGCCTTAAACTCCCTTTTTGTTTGTTTTTGTTTTTTTGAGATGGGTTTCTCTGTGTAGCCCTGCTGTCCTGGAACTCACTCGAACTTAGAGATCCAACTGCCTCTGCCTCCCAAGCACTGGGATTAAAGGCAGGCACCACAGCCTCACAGCAAACCAAGAAATGTTTGAAAAAAACATCTTTCAGACTTAAAAAGCTGTAGAGACTTAAAAACTGGATCCTGGGGCTGGAGAGGTGGCTCAGCTGTTGGTCTTCCAGAAAACCCAGTTCCAATTCCCAGCAACTCTTCAATGTCTATGTAAACTCCAGTTTCAGGGGATGTGATTTCCTCCTCAAACCACCACAGGCACCAGGTACACAGACATATAGGCAGAGAGAACACATACATAAAATAATGCCGGGAGCCAAAGCTATCTACGGAAGCCAAAGCCAAAGCTATCTAGTGAAGACAACGGTAGTTACTGAAGCCAAAGCCAAGTAGAGAGCAAAGGTCATTTAGTGGAGACCTAAAGCTATGAAGTGAAAGAGTTATCTAAGACCCTAAATCATGGGTGATAGATTGTGAGGACATCCTTTGTTAGAGCATCTGTAAGATATCTTAAGAGAACATCCTTATGGTATCTTGCAGGTAAAATATTTAACCCATGAAAGCACTCTTCCTATTTCCTGCAGCAGTAGATTAACCTTCCCCTTTCCTGCCTTCTCCCTATATAAGTTGGGTAAAAATTTCTAATAAACGGAAACCTTGATCAGACAAACAGACTTGGCTTCCTTCCTTGCGCTTCTTGTCCCTTTACCCCCATTCCTTCCACTCTACTCCCTTAGGAATCCACGTTGAAGCCCCGCTGGTCGGGGCAAAATAAAAATAGATAAACAAAAAATATATTTACAAAACTGAAAACTACATTGTTAAATGTTGCCCCTGTAGATCCCTTTCTGAATTTGTGGATGGAGGGAATCAGCTACGGAAAGCATCCAAAAGGATGAATCTAGTTATTTCTGATCACTAGGTTTGAGCTGTTTTATATAATAAGTTTTGTCTGTTTACTTTCTGCAGTGACCAAGCACTGCTTTTGTAAACACAAAAGATGTCATTAGAAAAAATTTAATGACACAAAAGCCAACATGTAGGTCAACTATTTTTCTCACTTTCTCTGAACAATAACAGCCTTGTGTTTGTGCAGATTCAATTGGCAGGGAATTACTGGTTAATAGGCCTTTGTCAGATGTGTTCTTGTCACTGATAAGGTGTTTTCCACTGTAAACAAGCCTCTCTGGGGTCAGCCAGCCCTCAGTAAGTGCCTCACAGGTAAGGCTTAGAATTAAGTGTCCATGCCAAGCCTCATGGCCCAATTTCAGAAGTGTTATAGAAGGAGATTCTTACACAAATGATCAGCTGGGCCAGATCAAGGACCTGCAAATGTTTTAGAGTCAGAATGTCCGGTCTATGGAAGACCGTAGAGTTTTAGCTTAGATAAATTATATCTGCTGACATTTACTGTATCAAAAATGAAAGATGAGAAATGAATAAATAACAAGAAGCCTGGAATCATCAGGGTGACGATATCACATATATATCTTCTGGAAAACGCTATCGTATATAAAGCAAAAGGATGAGAGTGAAAATAAGAAAGATCTTAGTATAGTTGGGAAAGTTTTGATTCCACAGGCACCCTAGCAACATCCTTGGGAGTTATTAGATGCGCTCCTCGAATGCTGTGCTCTAAACATGGGCTCCTCACATTTGGCAGTGCTGATGTATTGAAGGACATAATTAATTAACTAATTATTGATTTTTCAAGGCAGGGTTTCTCTGTTTATGTGTTGAAGGAGATAACTGTTTATTTGTTTGTTTGTTTGTTTGTTTTTCAGATAGGGGTTTCTCTTTATAACAGCCCTGGCTGTCCTGGAACTCTTTTCGTATACCAGGCTGGCCTTGGTCACCACTATGCCTGGCTGGAGATAACTCTTTATTGAGAGGGGCTGTTCCTGTTCTTGCAAGCAGATTAGCAGGACCCCTGGCCTCTATCTACTAGAAGCTGCCTAATGGGACAAACAAAAATGACTCTAGAATATATATGTATATACAAATAGTTATAAGCATAAAATAATAGATGAAAAAAAAGGGCAGGAATTTGAAGGAGAGCAAGAAGGAGTACATGGGAGGTTTGGGGGTAAGGGAAGGGGAAATGTAATTGAAATACAATCTCAAAAATAAAAAATTAACTCAAAAGCTATTATGGAAAAAATTTTAATGCCTCTAGAAGAGATTTCCAAATGCCCACTGGGTGAGAACACACTGTTCCAGCTGATTCTATTCCACCAAAATGTGAATTACAAATGCAATTCTTTGCCTTCTCAACAGTGACCTCCCCCCCACCCAAAGAAATACTTAGCTCCACTCCATTCCAATCTGGGTCTATTCCTTCTACCTCTTTAAAGTAAAAACATCAAGAGCCACTAGGTAACAACAAGCAGAGTAAATCAGGTCAGGAGGACATGCTGTGATCAAAGTTCAAGTTTAGGCTGTTATAGACACAGTCTATTGGGGCAGATCAACAACAACCAACATTAACCAGTCGACTCTTACCATCTAGTAACAAACACAATCCTTAAGCTATTACCTACCATTTTAAAACCACAAATAAGCTGATTGTGGTGGGAAAGAAGAAAAAACGAAGTGGCTGTGAAGAAAAGGAGTTAGCATACAAAACTCAGATACACGACTACCATCTTGGAAGCTCCCCCGACTTTGGCATCTAGGGATTCTTCTGTCAGAGTCTGGCTGGGAGGAAGTAGTGAAAGTTACAGGAAAAGAAAATATCCTCAACACGTTCAAGTCACTCCCCACCAAAGTTGTCACTTATCCCGTTGGTCTCTAGAAATCTTTCTTTCCAGGAAGTTACTCCAGTCACCTTAGATCCCTTTACCCTCAAAACTCCTCATCTTCCAGGTCACATTTTCTCCCAACCTCACAAATCCTACCTACAAAGTTCCCAACCTTGTGTCTGTCCCTTAGGCCCTATGGTCCTATATACCTACCTACCCCCATACTCTTGGCCCTGACAATTTTACAGGGATAGAGCATCTTCTGTTCCAAATTTCCTTTCTCACTCAATAGTTTTTCCACCATCTTCAAAACTCTTTCCCGGATCCAGGAAACCAAGACTCCCCGGTGTCTGCTCACCCACACTCTTTTCCAAGTTGTTCTCGGTACCCCAGCATCTCGTACTCTTCACTCCTCTTACCTAATTCCTTGACGTCGTCCTCATGCCCTTACTTGCCCCGTTGTTACTCTCAAAGGCCATTCCTTGGCCAGGCCCTCTCTAGGTCCAGTGTGTGTGTGTCCCCCTCCCTCCCGCGCAGCCCTCCCCCGCCCTGTGCGCCTCAGGCCGCCGCCGCCCAGTGTCAGCTGTTCGGTCTCTCAACGCCTTCTCAAAGACCAGTCGTTCAGGTTGTGGCCTTTGAACAACAACCCCCCAACCCATCCCGCGCTCACGCGCGCGCGCTACCCATCCCGCTGGGCCCAACTGAAGACGCTAAAGGAGAGGGCCCGAAAACTCACCCAGGAGCAGAAAGAGCATGAAGAACCCGGAGCCCGAAACCGGAGACAAGCGAAAGCGCATCATGATCCCTCACGGCAGGCAACGATGCAGACTGGCGATTCTAAAGAGCACCCTTGCTGCCCGTGGGAAAGCGAAAGCACAGGTGACCACAGACCACCGCACTGCAAAAGCCAAGAGTCGTCTCTTCAGACCCAGTCATAAGACCAGGGGCGGAGTTCTTGTATCCTTCCACCCAATCACCATGCTTGAAAGCAGTGCGAGGGGAGGGAATGTCCGGGAGGGAGGGTGGGGTGGCCACGCCCTGGCTTTTTGGTTCACAATCGTTATTACACAAGAAAGAGACGTGTGGAGAGGGCATTTTTTCAGGCTAACAGGGGAGAACTTTTGAAGCTTGTAGATGGTTATTTCTGTTCCAGGTCCTTGAGAAACAAACAGAATAATTTTTCTGGCATCGAAACGGTTGCTGGGTATCTCAAGGCAATAGATGCGAAAATAGTACACGATTATTCTCCAAGCACGGAGACTACCTACAGAGTTTATGCTATAGGTGGACAGAGAAGCTAGGGGATAGTATGGAGTCACTGACCACCAGATCAGATCGTGCTCTTAAAGTCCATAAAGTTACAACACTCTCCCTGATGGGGAAATTGAAGCCAGAAAGAGGAAGCATATTTTTAAATAGAGGAAGAAATAATGAGAAAAATAAAACAAGAATAGAAGGAAATAAAGATCATTCCCACTACTACCCAGAGACGCTGTTTACAAAACACATAAACTTCCAGATATTTTTCTATGCATGTACAAGTACACAAATGTTCTCTAATGAGTTCACACTAAACAGTATTCTGAACACTTGCCAAGTGAACAATAAACACACACAGCTTAAACCAATAGAGAAAAAAAAAACATTTAAACATAAAACTCTAGAGTTGGAGTGAAACAATGACCCTGAACTGTTTAGTTTCCAACACACACACACACAAACAGGACTCAGGGGTTTTAAAAGCAGTTTTGTTTATCTGATGACTTAGAGATTCAAAACTAAATAGCCTGTGTCTGTCTTACAAATTTACTGTTTGTTAGTTAACAGTACTGGAGGTTTAATCCAGGGCCTCCTCATATGTGGTCAGCAAGCACTAAGCCCTTTTTAAATTTTTAAGTTGCCTAATGGTTTGACCTTAAACTCACGGGATAGCTGTAGTTCAGGCAGAACTTAAGCATAAGATTCCCCTGCCTCAACATGCCAAATAGCTAAGATTGCAAGTTTTTTCCTCTTGTCCTTAAACACCTGGAGTGATTCCAATGTTGTGGTCCATGACCACACTTTGAGAAGTACTAAAAGCAGGACATAGTGGCACACATTGCTCCTTTAATCCCAGCACTCAGGAGGCAGAGGCAGGTGGATCTCTGTGAGTTCAAGGCCAGCCTAGGCTACAGAGCAAGTTCAAGAACAGCAAGGCTGATACACAGAGAAACCCTGCCTCAAAACAAAACAGAAGATAAAAATAAACACTAAGACATAGCTTCAAAAATCATGCAGTCTGGGAGATTTAAATCTGGGGTTCTGTCTGTATACAACCTTGAGCAGAGATTTCGGGGGAAGCTTAGTAAATTCTCAGCAATTACATGAGACACTGATGAGGGTTTTTCTATGGAACGTTATAGATTTAGCTAATTCTCTAATGGGACTGGTGACTACCCTAGGCCCTCACTCCAGCCTAAATATTAATAACCACAGATCTGCATTCACTTTAATGTGATTAATTCCTGAAAATAAGAACACTTGCTGATATATGCTTTCTATCATAGGTGAAACCAAGGCATGATGAGCAAATGGCTTGCTGAACTTGGGACTAATATACATTACAACATTAGTCATTAATGTTAGCAAAATGTCATTTGAGCATTCTCCCACCCATAAGAACTGGCTAGAGCTATGCCCTGTGTCTGCAGAGAACACATGATTGAATCATGTCCTCAGAAGTTGCCCCTCCAGTCCTTACTTAGGAACTCTGTCCTTTTCCTCAAATCTCTTCTGTTGTTGTTATGGTTGTTTTGTTTTGTTTTGAGACAGAGTGTCTCACTATGTGGCCCTGGCTGTCCTGGAACTCACTCTGTAGACCAGGCTGAGCTAGAACTCACAGTGATCCTCCTTCCTCTGCCTCCAGTGCCGGGATTAAAGGAATGCACAACCAGGCCTGGTTGGAGGATCACTGATAAATCCTTTCCCCCGTATCCGGACAATGAATGATGTAACAAAGACCCTGTGAATATGATTAAAGTTTGTCATATGCACATATAAGAGGACCACACTGAAGGCCATTAGTGTGTAGAAATCACAAATGTTATTTATAATAAAAAAGAAATAATGACTGGGTGTGGTAGTACACACCTGTAATCCCAGCACTCAGAGAGGCAGAGGTAGGAGAATCTCTGTAAATTCAAGGCCAGCCTGGTCTACAGATCGAGTTCCAGGATAGCCAGTGGTACACATTTTAATGAAATAGTCAAATAATAAACATGTTTGTGGTGTTTGTAAAGGAAACATTTTGATAGACTCTTTTCCAAATGAGCTTTTGTTAAATTTGGGTAGTCTTTTTTTTTTTTAACTTAAAAAAATATATCATTTTTAACTTTTGGGTCAGGCATGGTAGGTGTCTCATGCCTATTTATAATCCCAGCACTCAAGGGAGGCACAGGCAGGCAGATCTATGTGAGTTCAAGGCCAGCCTGGTCTACAGGACAGCCAGGGCTACACAGAGAAACCCTATCTCGAATAACCAAAGGAGGGAAAAATAGTAAAATGGAAAGCAGAAATTTTGGGGGAAGGGAGAGCTAAAGTGTTCAAATAGATGTATAATATGTAAGTGTGAGTGAGAACAAGTATGAAAAAGGAAAAGGGAATCACTTGTTTGTAACACAGTACTGTGCAGCTCAGACTAGCTTGTAACTTAACACGTAGCTAAAATCATCCTCAAACTGGCAATCTTCTTGCTCCAGCCTCCCCAGTGCTAGGTTTCCAGATGTGTGCTACCACCATGCTTGACTAGGAATCAAGAGCAATGGCAGGACCGTTTTCCTGAGAATTAAGTGATCAAGAACTCCAAATGATCCAAATTTAAGAAAACAAGCTAATGTGATTGTAGTTCACTTGCCCCAAATGTATGATTAGCCAACTTGAATAGTAGATTCACACCAGTGAATTTACACTGAATGTAGCTAAACATGAAGTGGCGGGGGGGCTTGGTTTTCATTTTGGTTCTGTAGTTTTTTTGTGTTTTGCTGATTGAGACAGAGTCTCACAATGAAGCTGTGGATGTCTTTGAGTTCACTAGGTAGATCATGCTGGCCTCAAGTTCATAAATATCCACCTACCTTTGACTCCTGAGTGCTAGGATTGAAGGTGTGCAGCGCCATGCCCACCGTTTGTTTTTGCCAGACCGTCTCACTACATAGCTTTAGATGATCTAGAATTCCTAGGAATCTGCTTGTTTCTGCCCACTAAGTACTAGGATTAAAGGTGTGTGGCACTATGCTCAGATATGAAGCTTAGTTTTTGGTTGATTTTAAAAATCTCTTAAGACTAAGTATGGTAGTGTATACATTTAGCCCCATTACTTAGGAGACAAGGGCAAGCAGAGCTCTTATGAGTTTGAGGACAGCCTCATCTATGTAATGAGTACCAAATCAGCCTGAGCAACAAAGTGAGACCCTGTCTCAAAAAAGTGAATCATTATTCTAAGGGCTGAAGAGAGCTCAGTGGTTAAAAACACTTGTTCTTCCCCACTTTTTCTTCCGACAGATTTAGTGTGTCTGGTTTTATGTTGAGGTACTTGATCCACTTGGACTTCACTTTTGTGCAGGATGATAAATATGGATCTATTTGCGTAGACATCTAGTTAGACCAGTACCATTTGTTGAAGATGCTATGTTTTTTTTTCATTGTATGCTTTTGGCTTCTTTGTCAAAAATTAAGTTTCCGTAGATATGGGGTTTATTTCTGGGTCTTCTATTCAATTCCATTGATCCTCCATTCTGTTTCTATGCCTGTATCATGCAGTTTTTATTACTGTTGCTCTATAGTACAGCTTGAGATTTGAGGTGGAGATACCTCCAGAAGATCTTTTATTGTACAGGATTATTTTAGCTATTGTGGGGTCTTTTATGTTGTTGTTGTTGTTGTTTTTCCATATGAAATTAGAATTGTTCTTTCAAGCTCTGTAAAGAATTCTGTTGGTATTTTGTGGGAATTGCATCAAATCTCTAGATTACTTTTGGAGGATGGCCATTTTCACTATGTTAATCCTACCGATCTATGAGCATGGGAGATCTTTCCATCTTCGGATATCTTCTTCAATTTCTTTCTTCAGAGACATGAAGTATTTTTTTTTCATACAGGCCTTTCACTTGCTTGGTTAGAGTTACCATGGTACATTATGTTATTAGTAGCTATTGTGAAGGGTGTCTTTTCCCTAATTTCTTTCTCAGCCCTTTTGTCTTTTATATAGAGGAGGGCTTTGATTTTTTTTTTTGAGTTAATTTTGTATCAAGCCACTTTGCTGAAGGTGTTTATCAGCCAAAGGAGTTCTCTGCCTTGATCTTATTGGCACAAGAGGCTACTTCCTGAAAAGAACAACGGCTCTAAGATCAACAATTAATAAATGGGACCTCATGAAACTGAAAAGCTTCTGTAAAGCAAACGACACTGTCACCAGAACAAAATGACAGCCTACAGACTGGGAAAAGATCTTCACCACCCCTACATTTGACAGAGGGCTAATATCAAGAATATATAAAGAACTGAAGAAGTTAAACACCAACAAACCAAGTAATCCAATTTAAAAATGGGGTACAGAGATAAACAGAGAAATATCAACAGAGGAATATCAAATGTCAGAGAAACATGTAAAGAAATGATCAGTGCCCTCAGTCATTCAAGAAATGCAAATCAAAATGACCCTGGGATTTCACCTTACACCCATTAGCATGGTTAAGACAAAAAACTCAAGGGATGACAAATGCTGGAGAGTTGTGGAGAAAAGGGAACCCTCCTCCGTTGCTGGTGGGAATGTAACATTGTACAACCACGTTGGAAATCACAAAATTAGGACTAGTGCTACCTCAAGATCCAGCTATACCACTCCTAGGTATCTATCCAAGTATATAACAAGGACTTTTGCTCAACCATGTTCATAGAAGCTTT